CCCAAACAGGCCGAAGATCGAGATTGATATAATGCGATTTCGCAATCGTCAACTCCCCAACTCGGTTCTTCCATATCCCGACCTGAAGATTTTGAGTAGCTCTGACCAAAAAGTCGTTGTGCCTGCATGATCCAGATGGATTTCGTTATAGGAGTCTCAACAGTCCATTAGTGACTCAACTACCGCCAGGGGAATAAGTTGGCGCTGGGCACAACAATGAGAGTATGAGAATGTTAGAGTTTACTATATAATTGCCGCTTACTGGGCAGATACATTCAACAGAAATATTAACTCACGTATGTGAAAAAGAATACGGAGCGGGTAGTAATTAGCACGTAACTTAGACAAATTCAAATAATCGATTCGCGTGCCATTCTCTACCTGTAGCGCTAATATACGGTCTACTACTGTATAGGACCTGCAGACTCCCAATGAATTATGTGACGATCATGTGCTAGATGTGGTGATATTTGAATTCTCTAACGAAACGTAGGTGTGACACGAGAGACGAATTCTTTCGGAAAAAGTTAATACATGTAAAGCATTATGGTTGATTCTCTTATTCGTTGCATTAAAGAAAATGAACTGAAGAATCGAACGGTAATGAGGCGACGAATTGGACCTGCCAATTAGAAATAACACTCCTCACCGCCTGCTTTTTGCCAAACTCTAGACTCCTTTGAAAGATTTATCAAGTCAATCTGCGTAATACAACGTTCCAAACTCGCCGCGGGCAACTCTTGGACCAGATTCAGAATTTGATCCAGGCAAGGATGCGGAATCAAATTGTGACTATTTCGTGCCGCTTGTCCTTTCTATTACATTGCTGGCGCCATATCAAATTAGTATTGTTCAAAAAACAGCCACAATCATCATAGACATTTCCTGACACTATTTTACCTAAAGACGCGAAAGATAGTATGACTATTTCTTTCCTAATCCTTTAGCTAAAAAATTTTGTTCACACCAAAAAGAGATAGGCTTTGGAATCCGATTAGCATGTCATGTAGTTACAACTATAGTTTGTAGTTACTGCTGGCAACCTGTCTTTAACAATGAGCATGTATATAGCATCCATAAATTAGCTTCAACAAAAATAATAATAATAGTGATTAGGGTCTCCGTCAGGACTTTATTCTATAGCTAAGTCGTTATTCCATACAGAGGTATTAACCGCATTCTTAGTCAAATATCTTATGTATAGTAAGTCATCACTACCCAAAATTATATATATCCCAGAAAATCTTCATACCGTCTTCATTTCGATGGCGATAGTTGTTGACGTGCCAGTATGATACAGTGTCGACAGCACGCTGATAGAAGTACAGCTATTGCCAAATCGCATAACCTTTCCCAATGCTCTGATCTGTCATTCCGGCCGATATATCGACAGCATTTACTGTTCGATCGATTACCATAGAGTCCCTACATGGTTATTTATGTTATTAGAAGCGCATCCTGTTAGAAATAAATCAATTATATGTATCCATTATCTTCTGCCATAACACGATATGTACAACAAGATACAACTCGTTTTCTAACCGGTATATTGTGCATGAACATATTCCCGATCCCTTTTTGTTAGCGGCTTACCTTTTCTATAGCCCCAATGTCGTAGACAAAGCGTGGACGATGTGCTTGATATATGAAAGTAGATTGCCATGTACTTGCTAGAGAGCGTAAGTATTTAAGTGTATCCGACGTGTGGCGTGTTAATCAACGTGGTGATAGTCATTTCTTGTCCAAAGAGGTCCGTAGCGGGATAAGGGAATGCACCATTCGTAGATGGAGTTGAGTAGGACGATTGACTTCCTTTCACAGATCAACATGCCCGTGGGATGAATGATATGAATGTTGGAATAAAAGTTGATGGAAGAGAGACGATGTAATACATGGTCTACACATTATGTTTAAGTTGTAGCCTAGGAAATGGTGAAATGGTTAAGTGGATGTTTATGGAAAAGAAGTGGCGGGAATTTCGAACGGAAAAAGCGTTTAGGACGGAAAGATATTCTAGTGACATTATTATACCACAGAACGTGTTTAGAAGGTGTTCATTATTGGCAGTATCGTGTTACATCACCGTGTCTTGTCTCCTTTAATAGAAGTGATCGGTTAGTCACTTGGATGTTGAGATATTATATACGTATTAATGTTATTTATATTATGACCCGTTCCAATAAACCATATAATTTATGTGATAACGTTGATACATTCTAAGAACGAGTTGTAACATTAACCAAGCCTTGTTGATTTTTATGGCAATTTCATAATTACTAACTCGAGTCTTAACATATCGATCGATAGGATTGGATGATACGGACGCTTGATAATAATAATAAGCACTTTTTGCTTATTATTATATACTATCCTCGTTCGCTCCTTAACAATAAAGACAAAATATGTATCCTCAGCAATATAATAATAAGGACAAAATACGTCCTCATCAACCTCCAATAAATATAGACATTTTTTATATGGTACTAGACATTGTACCAAATACGCAGTCATTAAGACCTATACATTACACTCTTAGAGGGCAGAGCCTTTTGCTCCTATATCTCCAATCGATTATTGGAAATATACAAATAAGTCATTACCTCTCTTTGCCCACACTCCATAATAAACTTTCCAAGGGTCAAACGGTCAAACTTATCGACAACATCCCACTCAGCAGTGAGTGGTTGAGGAAATGAAGAAGGGGAAGAGACATGGCGGACATTGCATATAATATCCAAGAAAAAAATAGAGTGCTCTCGGCGGGATTTATAGAGGCAGGCTAACCCCTATACCTGCCAAGAAAAATATCTTTTTACAAACGAGCGGCGGGAAGTTTCCCCGGGCGGCCGAGTGGAAGTGGTTATTTCAATTCTTTGATTCAGCTTTCATTATTCTCTTTTACATACTATTCCAGTAGACCATTCTTCTTCATTTCTTATTATTTCTTTCCAATATTGATTGGCACTTCAAACTTAATTACATACTGTCAATAAAGATACCAATCTTTGGTATTTAATCCATCAGTCCCAGTACCCAAAGTTAATTTTGTGCGGCTTGACCATAAAGTCGTATACCATGTTGATTTCTTGGACACCGGAAGATAGTTGTGGTAAGTATTCCGTGGGAAGGTGTTATTTGTTCTTGTTGAGTCTCTCTTATCTTCTCTCAAGCCATTCACACCTACACTCTCAATAGAGGATTTAACAAAGCCGACTATTGTGTCTCTCATACAGCAATGATATTATTGATACCGAGAACGCTGGCGCGGGAGCAACGATCCCATTTTTAATGGGATCAATAGAGAAATTAGTCGTCACTTGAGTACGTACATTTTTTTTAACTTAGAAATTTCCTCTTTAAGATGAGAGTTCTCTTAATAGATAAATAAGCATTCTATATGACATCTCACAGATCCATATCTTTCCCACACGTAGAGATCTAGCAAGAGTTCGCGTTTCTATACAAACTGAGATAAGACTAACCGTAATTTCTTCATACATACAAGAAACGAGGAGTAAGAAGTCACTATAGTTAGTTCAGTATTCTCATAGATCATAGATCACAGTACAATGATTTTCTTCTCTACTGTGAGGGAGTTGCCTCATTTGTAATCTTCAAAAATAATAAACACACACTCATCCAATATATTAGAATGATTGTATATACTATAGAAGCTCCGGTTGTCGAAAAGTTAAGGGATCGCAACCTTCCAAAGGGCAGATTTTCACATTATTGACTCACTATATAAGCATTACAAATAAACCCAATACTAATAAGATACATCGCCAGTAAAGATGATCCCTTGTGTCTAATCTCGGCATACCTAATCATGCAACGAAAGATGCACGAAGCATTGTTGATTATATTATGTACCGTAAATTGGAAGGTCGGTTCCTTGATACGTTTTGTGGCGGCCAGAGGGTCCTAACCCGTGTTTCAATTGTCTTCCGTAAACAGGAAACTGCATGCGTCTTATAATAGTTTAGATCGTACGTGGTCTTTTCACAGTCTCTTAATCGTTTTGGCAATTTCTACATGTTATAGAATAAAACGATAGTTACTATCAGCAATCACATTTGAGTTGACCAGATGTGTCAGGTGTAGGATTATTGACTTACATGTGAAGTTTTCTGTATCTTGGTTATATCCCGCAGTTATCTTCTCGTTCCGATTCAGGCTAAATCCTCTTTTCGATTCCATCATTCTTCTCAGCATGCAGTAGATTAGAAGGTAAACCCGAATTTATATTCGTGGAAAGAACTCGGTGCTTCAGTCATTCCTTTAATAACGTAGGCAAATTAAGTACATAGCCTTGCCTGATCCGTGCCTTCTAAGCGCCGTTTTATACCGCACCAATCTAATCTTCCACACCTTCACACCTTGTATCTGAATGTAACTGACGCTTTCGATTACAAGGGACATCACATCGTTCATTGTATTCTGCGTGTTCGATGACCGAGTAAAGTATCCTATTTATATAATATCTCCTGTCAGCCTGACCAATTGTGCTGCTTGGTATTAGTGGTGGCATAAAATACAGCCTTTTTGTTCATCAAGCACTTACCATCTCGCTTTCCCATTGACTCCCAGGGATATTCTCGGCGCCAGCTAATTGGAATAGACTGATTCAACGCTAATCCAGAAGAAACGCTCTGCCTGCTAATTGGCGTTATGCTTCCACCTGCTGGAAGGGTGATAAAAAGAGGCATTAGCAAAAATTAAACTTACATTCGTTTACGAGCCCAGATTTCCATATCCATTTCCAATCTACACCCACCTCCCTCTGCTTGCGTATACAATCGGAGCGAGAAAGGCATTATAAGGTAACATATCGTCAGGGAAATCATTATTTGGCGGTATCAATTTGGGGTTCAAGAAATAGTTAAACTTGGCCAGCGACGAAACATTATCCTCCCACGTAAGAATTGCAAATTCTAAAAAGCTTCGACCTATCCGTGTCCCTCGTAGGTTTTTCGCATTATATTCAATCCACCATTTCATCAAACTAGTAACTCAGTAAACAAAATATCGTCCAATGTAATCTCTCCAATCATTTTCTGCTCATTCGCCTTCTTAAAGAAAGTATCATATTCTTTCTGAACAGTCGGAATAACCTTTATGAATTTTTCCATGCCCTGATTAAATAGTCTAATTACGTTAATGGAGAGTACGCCTAGAGACGAAATAATAGGATGTTGGTTGCTTCGAACAGGCGAAGAATATTGTTTCCATAATTCTGCTGACACGATTATTGGGGGTGTTTGGGCGAAAGGGTAAAGTGTAGAGCATGTGTGCTCGATTTTGAAACCATTCGGAGATCAGAAAAGAGAGATATTGACAACATTTCTTCATTACAGACAGCTAATGTCTTGTCTAACAAATCTATCGACTCGCGTTCGACCTGAATATTGCGTAGAAAAATTAAATTACGACCGCGTTTGTGGTGAACAAATGTGAGACATAATAATCGCAGAAACTAACTTTTTGAGCGGAATTATTTTTTGTTGTGGAGGGTTTTATTTAACAGTTATATAGACTCTCACCGTAGAAATAATCCTCGCTGCCAAGTGAGATGAACATCCAGTCGTCTGATACGCCCTTCCTTGCTCTGGTTCTAACGGTGTGGACGAATAAAATGTAGGATCGAGCACATTTCGGTATTGTATTAGTATGTGATGGGAATTATCGCATTAAATTTGTACTACCAAGCTATCGACATTTCACACGTTCGATCGCGTTGCCTATTACTATTACTTACCACCATTAACCGATGGCATTAACCACTGGGTTTGGCATAGGAGTCGCATATGCTGACTGTCAGCACACCTTTAACCCTATCGATTTACCTGGTCGCTCCTTGATTCTTGCTGACGTTTTGCTGATATTGCTGGTGTATTTCGCCATTTGAAGGTTGACATTACGAGTTCTCCTCCTATGCTTAATCCTTTCCTTGTTGATCGCTAACCAATTATCTCCATTAACAATTTATTTTGTATTCAAGAAATAGACGTCCGTCCTGGTTGGTTGAGAGGCGGTAAGTGATAAGTACATATATTATATGTTGCATTATTGACATTACATCTCGTCATGACGAACGCGAAGACAGTATTTTCGATCTCTAATTTCATATAAATATTTTTCAACTAGAAAGAGAAATGTGCAAGTTCAGGAAAAAGGTAAATTATCAAATTCATTACATATCCAATTGTTCAGCCATGACAAGAACTTTGAACACACTCCGCTCTAATAAACTACCATACTTCACAATCCATTTGTCCGTCGCCAGTCATCAGAATATCGCCGTGAGCATGAAACGATTACCGAAAAGATGGATGATATCAGAAAAAGAATTGAATTCCTTATTTTCCATTGCCACTCCATAACCGACCCTCCATGTTTATGATCCGAGTCCCGGTGCGCACGAGCGTGAACATAGAGAGAAAAACGGATGATCATGCGATGTCGATAGTAAATGCAGATTGCAATTGACACTAGGCCGCCAGTGCTGATGTGGGTTTGGAAAAGGTGATGGTTGGTACATTTTGTTAGTTGACGTGATATTATTACGGTGAAAAAAGCCATCATGTTAACGCTTCGTGCAATAAATAGCACGGTGTTATTAATCGAGACGAGCGTCCCGGAGGGAAGGTTATAATAATAACGGCACTTGAAAGGGTGCCGATAGCGATAATAACGACGATTGAAAGAGGATTGACAACAAACCTATTCAAGAATATGATATTTATTTTATGGCATTCGCTGTGGTGGTACCGTATATATTGCTGCTCCGCCAATTACGATTCTACAGCGGCTCCATTCTCAGAAATGCTGTTCTTTAATCCTGGTATTACCGCCTTTGAACAACGATTTCTGGTTTCACATTCATGAGTCACTATTACGAAGCCAATACGAGAACTATACGAGATTGAAAGTTGTAATAACACTCAATAATGATTTCTTAATTGGATATATTTTTATAAATATCCATCTTCTATCCTCTTTTCTGTCTCTCTCGATCGCAGAAAGGCTTAAAGATCGAATAAGATGATGAATATCACATATCGGAGACATTGATAGGAGGGTGGGCTGGAAGAGACAGAACAAATTCTAGAAAAGAATGGAAGGTGGTGGCGTGTTGATACGCTATGTAGGAGGAAGAGTAGAGGGATAGATAGTTAACAAAAACCGGGTGAAAACAAGAACACTTAGAAATGTGATTTCGCCGGGCAATAATGGGGGAAATATATAAGATGAGAACTTTGTAGGTTAGGGTTGGAGAGGATGAGGTTCGCCAAATAGATACAATTTTATACTGCAGAATAACACTCAGACCTTAGCAAGTTAGGAAGAATGGTTATCTATCAAACGAGAAGGATAAGATACGATGAGGAGGATTTGCAAGAAACGCAACTGTTCAAATATGTAGAAGAGGGAAGACGATGAATATAGCAAAGTTAAACATAATGCACTATGCATTAGGCAACGTAAAGGATATTTTCCACGACTAGAATGAAAAGGCGAAACAAGTTCAGACGGAAAAATTGAAAAGCCAGATTGGTTACTATTAATCAGCACGAGTTTATCTCGGAGAAGAAGATGAAGAATTAAAAAAGGAGTTAGGAGAAGCAAGTAAAGACATTAAAAAAACTGATGAAGTAATGGCATTTTATTTTTGGCTAAACGGTAACGACAAAGTACTTGATTTGTGACAAGAATCACCGATATCGAAGGAAGGGAAAGTCACGGAAACCGAACAAAAAGACGCCAAATCGAGGGAGGTTTTTTCTTTGCCACAGAAGATCAGCCTAGGGAAAGTTGAAGAGAAAATAGCCTTCGGCTTTTGAGCGAGTTGTAGTCATGATCAGAAAGTGTAGAAAGAATTCCGAATTTGGAAATGAGAAGTTAGCCAGAAAGGATGTACGGATATAGAAGAAGAGTACAATATACGGAGAATCAAACATAGTACTATGCGCTTGACAAGAAAAAGATCGCTTAAAAGCGTATATCTCAGTAGTATTCGTAGGAATGAAATGTAATGAACTATGACATGTCTATATGACAACAGTTTGAAAACGAACTGTAATAATAAGCATTTATTGATCTAAAGCCTTACGCTTAACTCATAACACGAACAGAATTGTCTTCCCATGATCTTCATCTTCTCTTGCCATTCCCTCGTCTTTAATTACCGAAGCTCCTCTCATTCAATACTGTAATCATTTTCACATAGCAGTATAGCACCGAGCTATCGAATTCTACGAAACCGATAAAATAAGCGATGGCATTAACATGAACAAGCTCCTTCACTACGACTAATTCGCTTGTTCCGTTAGTGACTAGCACCAGAGGCATTTCCTTGTCATTTCAAACAGTCAATAGAAATATTTGCAAAGTCTGCTAAACGCATTATCTCATGAATATGCTTAGAGATCTATCTCCACAAGGGTGAATATCCAGCGAATTAAGACTGTCAGCCGTTAGCCTAAGTCAGCTGTTGCTTGGTTAAATAGCGATATATTGACCTCGCAATCTTGAGGTAAGGCGTTCGATTGATTATAAAATAAGCACCCCCTATTGTTAAAGGGTGTGCTTATTTTCGGAACTATGCGGTATTGCGAAAGATGTCTTGTTGACGACGGCAAGAATGTCAGCATTCTTGTGTTTTTCTTTTCGGTACGACTGAACCTCCGCAGTCCGTGTATTATAGTGCGTGTTATGGCCGTCGAAGAGGTATTATGGTATTAGAGAGATAGATGATAGTCTGAACTGGATTAAATAACTTGAAGAGGGTGATGATTATATCTCTGCACTCTTCCACTAATCTTGTTCATTATCCTCTTGTCTTACATTACTTTCTACTTGTATTGCTGCAGCAAACACAGCAAACACATTATAACCTTCCCATCTTTCCAGCCGCTATTTCCCCATTCTCTCCATCTTTTCCCACGGATACGTTGTCGATTTTATCAAAATTGTCGTCTCCGATAGCGTGTATATAATACTACAAACGGTAATTCCCTTTTCGATGCATCGTCTGAAATAGGGGCAGGCATAGCCTTTGCATCTTCAAAAGCGTCGTGATTTATACCGTAACTGTCTTCCTCTTCGCCAGTTAGTTCGATGTCTATGGCGTCAGGTTAACGACAGCATGATGTGGTATGGAAATCTTGTATCCGTGTCCGACAGTGAGTGTATGGATGCCAGAGTAAAGCATAAGTGGTTATTGGAACTAGTTGCAAAAGCGAATAAATGTATAACATTAAGTAAAAACGAGTGTTATTAATGGGATTCATAAATTTGAATACACAAAAAAAAGTACCTCCAGTTGATGGTGTAGCAATAAACAAAATAGATTCTATTTGCTCTCCAGGGTTATGTGTGAATATCTTTATACCTCCATAAGCATTTCCTGCAGAACGTTGCCTTGCACCAGTATCCTTATTAATGGCCGTACACTAAATGGGGAACAATTTGATAACTGGGAAGTAAATATAAGTCATTGAATTACGTTTGCAGTTGGCTTCGATCAAACTTACGGCTTTTCTGAATAATGATCCTGAACAATGATTCTCCTAGATTATTAGAAGTCAGAGAGAAATTTGACTCTAAAGCCTTTGCCAATGCTGGTGCTTCTGTATCTCTAATCTGATCCAAACCAAGATCCAAAAATTTTCTAGAGCCTCTGCCAATACTCGTTGTAAGATCGTAATAATCGCCATACGGTCACTCCTCCAACGGTGGCACACACATAATACTTGTCAGCAGGATTGCACCCTTGTTATTTTTCTTGTTCCTGCTTAGAAGAAGCCAGTTAGTCAAATTCAGATTACAAACGTAATGACAAAGGCATAGTAATTAGCTCACATGGTGGTGAACGCCTTGCGAGATGATCATTTAAACTCTGTGATTAGAGTAGATATATCGGTTATTGTTTGAGTAAAGAACATTAAGGGTTAATTAAGCGCAGCTAACTAAGCCAACGCAGGTCTGTGTGTTTGTACACTGAATTACTAGTCTATCCGCAGCTTTATGAATAATCTACTGAGATGCTGGTTATTCCGTTTGTATAGGTGTATGTCGATTATGGATTGAATTGGCAAACAAAGGTAGATCATCGGCTGGACCGACATTATTAATATATTAATATGCTGCGGACCATTCCGATTGCTAAATGTTATTGTTATGAAGCAGGGGTGTCACTAGTGAAAATGAAAGCTCATACTTACTAACTCTAGTTCCTGTAATAACCTTTTCGATACCATTATTACTATAACCTTCCCTTCCAATAACACCTCCTATTTACTACATCAAAGCGTTAACATGACAGACTCTTTTCATCATAGCATCACGTCAACTGACAAAACTACAAACCATCTCTTTCAACTCCACACCAGCGTGCGGAAGCACGAACGCCCTGTATTGTTGATTTAGCGTTGAAAGTGGAAGTAAAGTTTTTAATGCTGACGGATTCCATTCTCATTGGGTAATAGACGACACGTGAATTAAAAAGGTCACCTAGAATTATTAACTTAGTATTAGGCATCCCTAAATTGGAAATTGTTTATGTGGGACATTTGTTCTATCCTACTAATCAATGCAACTTGAATTTTAATAGTTAGGATGTTGCTGTAATACTAAGCAGTCGATTGAACGTAGATCGCAAAATGCGAAAATGAGATTTAAAACTATTATACTCGCTCTCGTCATTAA